AGAGATATGTCTGACTGAGTGTCATTACTGCCAATCATTATGCCCCAGGATAGGTTGAAAAACAAACCAGAAAGCTTTACCAAGTGAGGGCAAAACCCTCTGTACCCAACCTTAACTGGTGGAGAAGAAGAGAGCTATCAGAAGCGGAAGGCTAAAATCAATTTGGGCAATATTTGAATGACATGTTATATTGTTTAGTCAGAAAATTTAAAAAAACAGAATAAATATTTAATTGACTGATATTCTGGCCTCCTGAAAACTTTTACCTAGTTGCTTACTTTTACTTTTCTATTTTATTTTATATATTTTTTGAGAGAAGGCCTCACTCTGTCACCCAGGCTGGAGTACAGTGGCATGATCATGGCTCACTGCAGCCTTGACCTCCTGGGCTCAGGTGATCCTCTCACCTCAGCCTCCTAGGTGGCTGGGACTATGGATGCACACTACCACACCCAGCTAATTTTTTGTATTCTAATACATTTTTAAAAAAAATTTTTTTGTAGAGACAGTTTTACCTTTGATATGGTTTCACTCTGTGTCCCCACACAAATCTCATCTTGAATTGTAATCCCCACATGTTAGGGAGGGACCTAGTGGGAGATGATTGGATTATAGGGGCGGTTTCCTACATACTCTGATAGTGAGTGAGTTCTCATGAGATCAGAGGGTTTAAAAGTGGGGCACTTCCCACTTGTTCTCTCTCTCTCTCTCTCTCTCTCTCTCTCTCTCTCTCTCTCTCTCTCTCGCCCCTGCCACCTTGTGAAGAAGGTGCTCGCTTCCCCTTCACATTCTGCCATGATTATAAGTTTCCTGAGGTCTCCCCAGCCATGTGGAACTGAGAGTCAAGTAAACCTTTTTTCTTTATAAATTACCCAGTCTCAGGTAGTTCTATATAGCAGTGTAAAAACGAACTAATGCAAACAAGCTAGTTTGAGACTAGCTTGTTCCCCAGGCTAGTCTCAAACTCCTAGGCTCAAGTGATCTACCCAGCTTGGTCTCCCAAAGGGCCGGGATTACAGATGTGAGCCACTGTACCTGGCCTAATTACTTATTTTAAAAGAACCAAAATTATACCTAGTCCAACAGAGGGACTGTCCCCTGATTTCTGGCAACCATCTTCAGGTAAGAGTTTGGTATAGAATAAGAGATAGCACCTTAAGTGTGTGCTTAAAATACAGCCAATTTAGAAGAGGTAGGAAAGCCAGAGAAAAAAGGATCCAAGCGAGAGAAGAGCCAAAGTAGTGAGAAGTGACTGAGGACAGTCTCAGAAGCTCAGAAGAGTGTTTAGCTCAGAAGAGGAAGAAATCTAGGGAGAAGTGTAGAAAACTCACAAAATGCAGCACTTGGCTTTCTTGATATTTTCTACGAGAGGCACGATAAATGTTAAGAAAATCATTGCTGACCTTAAAGTCTCAGGCAATCAGGAACAGACCGTTCTTTTGGTTATGCAACACCCATTGTATATGATAAACAAATATGAATGGCCATAATATAGCTAAGCCAGGGAAAGGAAATTAAGAAATGTATGCAGGTTGGCTAAAGACAAGTTTTTAGGAAACTCTGAAACAAAACTGCAATCGACAACTATATACATGGTAGGTCGACAACAGAAGCAAACAGAAACAACTATTGTTCTATAATGAGATATGAGATGCTATTTCTGAATAAGTACTAAGTTGGCTATGAATCTAACAAATCCTGTTAAAAACTATGATACCTATGACCAAAAAGAGAATTTTAACATGGCTGAGGGTAGAAACAACTTTTGAACAATTTTTTTTTCCCTTTTACATCTGTGTATGTAGTCAATAATGCAACTAGTATGTGGCTGGTATTTTGAAATGACAAGTACAACACAGGATTCAGTAGTTAATCCTTACCTATAAAGTAGTGATTTTATTGAAATATGATACATACATGAATATAAATGAAAACAGGTTCTGTGATAACCCGTAACATTATTTGTAGAATTTTATTTAGAAAGGGAACACATTTATTCCTCCACTCCATGTAACTGATAATTACTATTTTAGCTATAGGGCTATTTTAAAATACATTATTGATGGTGAAAAAAAGCAGGGCAAAGAAAAAGACTAAATGAGGTCACTAGCTACATGACCGGGAAAACAAGCTGATGAAGTCCAAGAAGGACCTGGATAAAATAAAATTACATACTATGTCACAATATTTTCCCACTAGATGTAGTGAAAGAGGTACAAAAGCAGTATGTATCATAATTTTAAGAATAAAAGGTTACATTCCATATGTAAATCCTTATGAAGGGTAGTTAGTTCATAAAGGTGGATAAGGCCAGGCCAGGGAGCTCACGCATATAATCCCAGGACTCTGAGAGGCTAGGGTGGGAGGATCGCTGGAGGCCAGGAATTGAAGACCAGCCTAAACAAGAAAGTGAGACCCTGTCTCTATAAAAAATTTAAAAATTGGCCAGGCATGGTGGCACATATCTGTAGTCCCAGCTACTCTGGAGGCTGAGGTGGGAGCATCACTTGAACCCAGGAGTTTGAGACAGTAACAGTGAGCTAGGATCACACCACTAAACTCCAGCTTGGGCTTCACAAAGAGACCCCACTGCCCAATATAATTTATTAATATTAAAAAACAAAATAAAGGGGACATACTACATCTACACATCTGTTTACTAATCCTCCCTCAATTTATGAGTATCTGACACACAAATGTCTTTTATACACACAGTGCTATATCACAAATAAAGGAAGACGGCCTCTCCTAAAAGCTTAATAAAATAAGAAGGCTGTCTTCCTAGACAGCCAAGGGAAGACACAGCCAACAAGTTGTTTCAGCTGCTGCTGCATTTCTTCTGCATGGCAGAAAGCAACTCCCTACAAAAAAATCTATTTTAAATGATTGATTAATTTTGCTGAATTAAGCCTGAGTTAAGTGTGATTACCAATTATGCCACAATTTACACGGCAAAAATGACTTTGAGTTCATGAGCTGATTTTAAAAATAAATTTTAAGATATAGTTTGTATAAGCTGGTTCACACTCTCCTTTTTTAAAACTGTCACCTGGGAATTTTTTTAAATGCATCTGACACTAGATTTTAAGTAGAAGACCAAGTGATCTGAGGTACATTTTATAGAGATTTATTTGGTGGTTGTGGTGGGGAAGGAATGGAGGATGTCAAGGGTGAAAGAAGTATGCCAACTGGGAGGCTTCTGCAATAAATAATACCAGCAAGAGATGATAGTGGACTAGACTAGAACAATGGCAGTAGAGAGAAAAATAGAGAGTAAGAAATAGGAAGTGCTGGCTGGGCGCGGTAGCTCACCCCTGTAATCCCAGCACTTTGGGAGGCTAAGGCAGGCAGATCACCTGAGGTCAGGAGTTCAACAGCCTGGCCAACAGGGCAAAACCCTGTCTCTACTAAAATACAAAATTAGCCGGGTGTGGTGGTGCATGCCTGTTAATCCCAGCTACTTGGGAGGCTGAGGCAGGAAAATCAGCTGAGCCCAGGAGGTGAACATTGCAGTGAGCCGAGATTGCACCACTGCACTCCAGCCTGGGTGACACAGCAAGACTCCGTCTCAAAAAAAAAAAAAAAAAAAAGAAGGAAAAGAAAAGAAAACAAGAAATAGGAGATGCTGATATTGGATGTGGTTATTAGAAAGAGAGAAAAATATCAAGAAGGGACCAACTAAATTTTTAGCTTGAGTATCTGGATGAGTGGAGGTACCACTCACTGAGATGAGGAAAAAGAAAGAAGAAATAGTTTTTTTTGTTTGGGAGAGTAGGTTGGAGTACTGTGAGATCAAGATTTTAATTTCGAACACCTCAGAGGATGTGTCAAGTTTCAAGGTGAAAGTGGTAACTTGTGTCAGATGCTATTGAGTTATTTAAGATGAGGGAAAAAAGAGTAATAACAATGTCACTGATAGTTATAACAAGGGCTAGGGCACATAATCCACTCTTACAGGAAGGAAGGTGGTATATGTACAGATGCAGATAGGTTGATAGATTTTGTCATAAGAATATGAGAAAATTCCCTAATGGCCTTTATTTTCTCAAGGAATTATGAAGCAACTGTCAGCTGAGAATGAACGTTCAATATATGCTATGATGGGAATAAAGAAGTGTTATGGGAGCGAAAAGCAGGGGCACCTAACTCAGTCTAGAGGTGAGAGTAGAAGAGACCTCAAGGAAGAACAGAAATTAATAAGGAAAGGATAAGTAAGGCCAGGAGTAAGAGCATCTCAGACATGCAAAATTTCAGAGGCAAAGAAGAAAGGGCATGTTCAGGGAGCTATAAGGCACCTAAGAGGTCGAGATAGGGATTGGTAAGAAATGAGGTTAGATAAGCAGATGTAACTTCATTTCCTGATTCAAGATCAAGAAGAGACTTGTATGCAATGTTAAGGCCACTGAAATTTGTCATGAAGACAATCAGAAGTAGTCATTGAAAAGTGCAATACATATTTTATTTTTGTGGTCTTCACATCAGTTTGGAGAAAATATTTGTGAATCTAAATATATAATTAATATAATATTAGTCCATTTTTATATTTGATACTTAAAAATCGAAAGGCAGTAAAGTTTAGCGATTAAGAGTACAGATACTAGAAAAAGAATGCCTGTGTTCAAATCTTAGCTATGCCAGGTGCAGTGGCTCATGCCTGTAATCCCAGCACTTTGGGGAGTTGAGGTGGGAGAATTGCTTGAGCCGAGAGGTCAAGGCTGCAGTGAGCCGTGATCACACCACTGCACTCTAGCCTGGATGACCGAGTGAGGCCCTGTCTCAAACAAAACAAAAAACAAAACTAAACCTCAGCTATGTCACTTAGCAACAGTGTGATTTGGGCAGTTATTTAACCTGTGTTTTAGTTTCCTTATCTTTAAATGGAAGTTTTAATAGTAAAGAAATAAATAATAATATAATCTCAGTCAGAGAACTATTGTAAAAACTACATTAGTTAATATGGCATTCTGTAAATGTTAGCTATTGTTATGATATAATTTTACCTGCTTTTTAATGTCATAATTTTCACCATCTTCAGCTCTCATTTTTTCAATCTTTTCTTCCTGTTGTTTTGCCTCTTTTTCATACATCACTTTTTCTTTGACCAACCTATAGAAAAGCCAAAAATATTTCAGAAAATTAGCTTTCTCTCTAGACCATAAGAAAGAAACTGTGTAAATATAAAACATACTATATTTAGAATGCCAAAGTAGATATATTAGATGGGGGGGAGGAAGGAACAGAAGAAAAATAGTTTAGTCAGAGATGTAAGTATGATCCTCATGCTCTTAAATCCTATACCTGCCTAACATAAGTGCAATCTATCAAAGCATGAAATTCTTTTTTTTTTTCTTTGAGACAGAGTCTTGCTCTGTCACCCAGGCTGGAGTGCAGTGGCGGGATCTCGGCTCACTGCAAGCTCCACCTCCCGGGTTCACACCATTCTCTTGACTCAGGCTCCCGAGTAGCTGAGACTACAGGTGCCCACCACCACACCCAGCTAATATATTTTGTATTTTTAGTAGAGACGGGGTTTCACTGTGTTAGCCAGGATGGTCTCGATCTCCTGACCTCATGATCCACCAGCGTCGGCCTCCCAAAGTGCTGGGATTACAGGCGTGAGTCACCGTGCCCAGCCCAAAGCATGAAATTCTTAATTTTTAAATTAAAAACCAACTTCAGTATAATTACAATGTGAAAGCAATATTCAAAATTAGTATATACCAATAATACTAATATAATTGTCTTTTTTTTTTTTTTAAATATGTCTTCCAAACCTTTATACATGTATCTGAAACAGCACAATGTTTTGTAAAAGCTCAGTTTACTGGCCGGGGAAAATTCAGTAGATTGCATGTCAAATCCAAAACAAAGAAAGACTGGATTATTTTTTAACAACAAAATCATTTAACAAGTATTTATTGTGCCTTTAATTTTATGCCAGACATTCCTTGTGCAAGGAGCTGAGATAGATAATTTAGATGCAGTTCTCTCACAGACAAGTGGTAGAAACAAACTAGTATTTACTTCCTAAAGTAAGAAAGTATTTTTTAAAAAGTACATCAGGAAAAGTTTCAACAATAAGAAATACTGCAATACAAAGTTCTACTGATTATCCCAGAGATGATCCAAATAAAATTAACCATAATAGCCCCATCTTCCCCAATTCTGGTTGTTTAAAGTTTTAATATAAAAGAAAACTATAGTCTAAGAAAATATTAACATTCATATATACACAGTATCTAAAGAGCAGAAGAAAAGCTTTCATAACTCATATGCATTAAAAATAGCTTTCTCCATCTGGCTGTTGGCAAGATGGCAAGGATGTAGAGAAATTGGAACCATCAAACATTGCTGACGGCAATCAAAACTGGTATAGTAGCTTTAGAAAAGTTTGACTATTCCTCAAAAAGTTAAACAGAGTAACCATGTCCTGACAATTCCATTTCTAGGTATATACCCTAGAAAAATGAAAATACATGCCCACAGAAAACATGTCTGTGAATGTTTACAGCAACATTATGCATGATAGGCAAAATGTGGAAGTCCAATAACCAATGGAAAATGTGGTATATCCATAAAATGGAATATTGCGCAATAAAATAAAAAAGTACTGATTGAAGCCACAACATGGGTGAACCCTGAAAACATGCTAAGTAAAAAAGAAGCCTGACATAAAAGGCTATATATTGTCTGATTTTATTATAGGACATATCCAGAACACACAAATCTATAGAAATGTAAAATAGATTAGTGGTTGTTTAGGACTGGGGACAACAGGGGAATTGGAAAGGTGATAGCTAAACGGTTTAAGGTTTCTTTCGGGGGTAAGAAACATGTTCTAAAAATGATTGTGGTGATAGTTGCACAACTCTGTGAATATACTACAAGCCAATAAACTGTAGACTTAAAATGGGTTAATTGTATGGTATGTGAATTATATCTCAATAAAGCTGTTGGCAAAAAGGAAAAAAAAGCTGTGACCACAAAAGCTTCAGGGGAAAGCTGCAAGTACTGATACATTCAAGCATGACAGCTGAAACATGTGAATGTCAGATGCAGAAATCTGCAGTTGATTTATAATTTAAAATTATTTTAACAATAATTTTCAATATTAAAATATCCTTTGAGATACAAAATTTTAAAATAAAATAATTAATATATATAACAAAAAATATTTCTCAAAAAGTTCCCTTTGAATAGTAAAGGAAACTTGTTAGCACAGAGATGGCAAGTTGCCAGCCTGCTTAAATGAAACCTAAACATGATTTTATTTGACTCACAATGTTAAAAAGAAAAGTATTTGTTTAAAAAAATATGTTGCCACATTAAAAAGCTGCGAGATTTGACATATACATCTGAATTTCTGGCTTCTCTTGGATGTTTTCATCAGGAAACATGGGGGCTGCATTCCCACTACTAGCTGGAGCTAAGTGGTGGCTGTTGTCTCCTACAGATGGGTTACGTGCTATTCCTTTGCCCCAATTCATATAACTCCCTGTTTCCTTAACAGTCAGGCATTACGCTTGGTCTTGCATACCTTTGAGTTTGGGACCTGTGTGCATATTATCAATGCAACATTATTACTATTGTTGTTTTATTATCATTATATAATCATGATTATTATTCAGAATATCAAGGATATTCAGAAACTACTGGATTAGCAATGAGACTTTCAATACTTCTAAACCTGGTATGTGACTAAATTCCCCTAGTAATGAAAGTAGCTGGAATTGGATAGGCTATTAAAGAGAAGCCCATTCCATACCATCTTATAATTCAAAGACTTAAACAGGGGTAGGCAAACTATGGCCAGGGAGCCAAATCTGGTCTGTCATCTGTTTTTGTATAGTCTAAGAGCTACGAACAGTTTTTACATTTTTGAATAGCTAAAATTTTTTAAAAAGATTTGTCATATAAAAATACAGAATTCAAATTTAATATCCATAAAGTTTTATTGGAACACAGATATACTCATTCATTTATGTATCATGTATGGCTGTTTTCATGCAATAAGAGCAGAGAAGAGTAGTTGTGATAGAAGAATCATACGGCCCACAAAACCTAAAATACAGTATCTGGTCCTTTACAAAAAAGGGTTGCTGACCCCTGACTTGAAAGACTTCCACTTAATTCTATCCAACACCTACTTAATTATATTAGCATTAACACACTACACTGAAGCCTTGCTAGGTCTTAAGTTTCTTGAAGAGAGGATTAGGTTATATTCATATTGTATAATTGATCTTCCTACATAGTAGGCACTCAATGTTGGTTGAATGAATAAAAAGTTCAGTCTAGAAATCTCACTATTGTCTTTTAACATTTTCAATTTAAAGATAGAAATTATATTTATAAAACAATTCTGAAGCAGAAAAAGAGTGATTCACAAAAACTGAGCAATAAAAACAACATGGTAACTTTTGAAGAAGTATACAATAGAAGAATGCTCAGCTCACAGATAATTCTGATTGGTAATCCAAGTCATCCTACTTCATTGTTCTTGTCTATGGAAAACAGCAACAATGGCTCCAGCAACACTGAAGAGTTACTTAACTACCTATCACATGGGATAACTAAAGGTGCTACGTATTTCCATGGTTATTGGAATACCAAAAAATATATGTTACGTTTTTGCTTAAAAAGTAGTATTTTTGTGAAAAGGTCCAGGAAACAAGTTATTGAATAGCATGTGTTGCCCTGAAAAAGAAAAAAAAAAAAAAATCACTCAGTTGTGAGAACCCAGTAGTAACACGAGCATGTAAAATTATAGGGAATAAAGGCTAGGGAAAGATGTGGTATGAGAAATAGTAAAAGTTCAACTCTTAAATAGTACAAATCAATGTACTGATGACAAGTAAGATGATGCTAAAGAGGTTTTATAGAGTATATATACAACTTCTGCTTCACTAAGTATCATCAAATTGCTTTCCAAAGCAGTTTTATCAGTTGATAGTCAACCTGTAGTGTATGAAATTTCCTACTTCTTGGCATCCTGGTGAACTGGGATTGTCAGAATTATTAAATTTCTGACAATCGCAAGAGTGTGAAATAGTACTTCTATTATGGTTTGAAATATTTCGCTAATAAGGTTGAGCATCTTTATGCTTATTAAAATAGTATTAGCTTTCTCTCTAGTATTTACTGGATAAATATTTGTTGAATCAAGGAATTAGTATCTTCTGGTGCATTTAGCTCTTCTCGTTTGTAGAAAAGGCTAAGATTTAATACGAAAACTGAAGTATGTATTTTAAAATTTGTACTAAGATATTTTTCTGAAATGTACATATGTACATATTTATAAAAAATTATAAAAACAATATTTAAAAATCACTCATAATCACTACAGATTCAAAATACACATAATTTTGAAACCCAAAGAGGTTTTAAAAAAAGAACATTGTTTATTGTTTGACACAAAATCATTTAGCAGCAAAGTGTAACCTCAAATGAAGTAAAATGATTTATAGAATTTATGTGTACCATTTAAAGTGAATAGTCCTGTTGCACTGCAGAAATATTAATGTGTATGATTATAGAGCACTTCTATTGATGCTATTATGGAAATATATATTACTTTTATAAAATATGAAAAATTTGGAATTCACAAACACATATGGGCCAAAGGGTTTTCAAAGTAAAAGATTATGGACCTGGTATTAACATTTTGAGTATTGTCCAGCAGTCTTTTTCTCTCAACATGTGTGTGTGAAAATTTATATTTAGATATACAAAAAAATAATTTGGGTCAGGTACAGTGGCTCACACCTGTAATCCCAACACTTTGGGAGGTGAGGCAGAAGGACCACTTGAGGCCAGGAGTCTGACACCAACCTGGGCAACATGGCAAGATTCTGTCTCTACAAAAAAATTTCTTAAATTAGCCAAGCGTGGTGGCATGCCTCTGTAGTTCCAGCTACTTAGGAGTCTGAGGTGGGAGGATCCCTGGAGCTTAGGGAGTCAAGGATGCAGTAAGCTATAATTGTGTCACTGCATTCCAGCCTGAATAACAGAGCAAGATTGTCTCAAAAAATACATAATAATACTAATAAATAACAGTAATTTGGATAATAATCACTTCCAATGTCATTAAATGTTCTTTGAAAATA